CCTCGGGAATTTGTGTTAAACGCAAGAGCGGAATACTGTCCAGGCCTTTCACGTGACCTCAGACCGTGATGAGGGCTGTGCGGCCCACAAAACTCCATGTAGTGCTGAGTTCAAGATCGAGTGGAAGCCATACCTTTTTCATCCTTAAGCATCTCCGCTGCACACTTTTACTTTTTCTATTCGTAAGCAAAATTCAGCGGCCATCTTTCTCACCCAAGTCTCCTGATTAAAAGCTAGATGGCTCTGGCAGTCAAATCAGGCTTGAGTAGAAATTGTGCAGAGTCAGTGGGCTGGTCACTCACTACTTCACGACCAAGACCAAGAAACCCCGAAAAGGAGGCGGCGAAAACCCACAACAGGGTTGTAGAGCCGAGAAACAACAACAGTCACTGGAAAAGAATAACTGGTCCTATACATCGGTATGCTGTTAATTTTGGAACAGTCTCTTTGTATCTCCCGTGAATGAACAAAAATTGTATAGAGGTATCAAAAGAGGCAAAGAAATATTTTGTATTACAATGAAATACATGTTTTCACCTTCGGTATTGTAGGTTACAGTTCTTGATACAAACGATGTTCAATAATTTCTAATTCTCTCAATCTCAACAGTGTGTTTTAACATGGCTGGGTTTTGGGTTGGCTATGCGTGTAGTCTGGTAGACGTTCACCGACGTTTAGGTGCCTTCTGTCTCCATATCATGATTCTGAGTAAGCCGTATGAGAATTCAGTTTCATGGAACCGTGGGAAAGAGGGTGAACATCGGGCGAGGGCAAGGGAGCCAATGATAGAATCGCTGATCACAACCGGAGAGGGGAATGACGGGTGTGGCTCGGACATACGAGACGGTAAAGTAAACGGCCCTTATCAGGTCCCCATCAGGACATCATTGGAAGAAGCAAAGGAAGATGTGCGATTTTGTGGGTGGAATGAAGGAAAGGGAATAATATAGGAAAGATACTGGAAGAAAATGAAATTTGGATATGGACTAAATAACATTAGAGCTGGGAGAGGGCGAATTAGACACTGGCTTTGATCGGATGAGTGTCCTGAGTGTGCTGGACAGGTGGCGACTTTTCTATCATAGGCTTGCTACGTCCTTTGAGAAAGTGGAGGAGGGAATTCCATACGACCAGCTCAGGCGAATTCCATCCTCTCTGTTTACGCTTCTCGAGCGTGCTTCAATCTCAACAGCCTGTCTGACTACCCATTCCATCTATCTGGATTTGTGGAGAGGATAGTGGTGTTCTGGAGTTGAATACGGTAACCCAGGTTAATGCCATGGTCACCCACGACTGATTTGTTCAAATGCTCCAGACATGTGGCGCTGGTGCTCTTTGACCCCGAGCGGTTGGTCTGCCCGATGTAAACTTCGCCACACTCACGGGTCACGCTGTACACGCCAGAAATTTTGAGTCCCGTGTCATCCTTCACAGGCCGAATGAAACTGGGAATCATCTTCGAGGATAGGCTTACAGACTTGATGTTGTGTCTTGACTGACAGGTTCCTTGCTCAAGGATTACATATCGCCCTGATGATGGAGGTAACAAGTACCTCTGTAACGCCAGTGAACATCTGCCAGACTACACAGCACAACCCAGAAGACTTCGTACTCACCACCGTGAGAACCAGAAATCTCAATGTGCTTTAACCTTCCGCTTTCTTTAATTCTCCCAGGGCACGAGCTTCGCCTGTGGATAACGTGTCTTTAACTTCTGATCTGAACAAGGAACATCACGGCGGTTTGACAGAGTTTGGAAAGGTAATGATAACAGCGTTTATCAATACGATCTGGGAACAACCCATAATGCCTAATTTACTAATATTATGGGGCTGTTTTGTATGTAATTTCTACTGTTACAAATTTTTCATTGTCGCCATGTTTATAAATATGAGCAAACAAAAAAGTTTCGTACAAAATTTCTAGTTATCTTTGTTATACGTGTCCTTACAAAAATGTATTACTTACTTTTATAATGGTTAATTGTTGTTGTTAAAGCTACACCTAAAGATTTTTCGCGAGGTTGCAATTTTACGTTCTGCAAAGTAAATTTGAATATCTGTTGACAACGGACCTATTGTATTATCACTTTTAGTATTTCACAGTGCCTCCGTGTTCTTCTTATTGACGATGGAAATATAAAACACAAAGGTGGGGTATCCTTCACCGGAACAGCGTGCATTAAGCTGAAAGCAGTACTGAGTCTCCCCTACAAGGATGAGAGAAAATTATTAGTGTTCTTGCTTATTGTTCGTGAGTCTTCTGATTCGACTTTTGGTTTTATAACTAGGAAAGTGTTTTGAAATAAACAGAGATTGTTTTGCTTAATATTCTTCACAGTTTTTTGTTCACAAATTTCAATATTTCACGAAATCCTCTTTTCATAGAAACAGTTAGTTTACACATATCAACCACCCATTTAGTAAAATCGCTATTGTCAGTTTTGTCACTGATTCAATGTCTTTGTAGGTTTTTGCTTGTCCAGGAGTGTTTGCAGTATTTGTAATAGTATCAATTTGCGGTGTTTCAGACTGTTGTACTAGAGATGAACCGCCTGGGAATGTTGGTAGACCTGTCGCATGTGTCCCACCAAACCATGATTGATGCTATTAGCATAACAAAATCTCCAGTCATATTTTCTCACTCATCAGCATATGCATTATGCAACCATCACCGCAACGTGCATGATGATGTTCTTGTTATGACGGTAAGGTATTCATCCAAAACGTACTTTCGTATAATCTACAAGGGTCGATCTTTTACCTTGAAGACTGTAGCAAACACTACAGAAACTAAAACCTCATTTTGATTTTTAGTAGAACACAAATAGTAACAAAGGTGTCTGTTCAGCCAATTATGTGGACAGGAATAGAGGCGTCTTTTTAGCCATTAACAGGCAGCCTGTTTATAGCCAGTGACATCAAGGATAAAGGCGTCATTCTGGCCACAGAGGTCTCTGTAGAGCCATTGATATGGGTGGAGATAGAATCATCTACAGAACCTGTATTAGAGACAGCAATAGAAGCATTCAAATGGCAAGTAATATAATAATGAATGCAGGCCCAGTGGAATTGTCATGGATACAAACGCCTGTATAGCTAGTAATATCATCACATATAAACGTATTTTTATTTAGTAATATAGGCAGGAATAAATGTGTTTATATAGTGAGAAATATAGGTAGTGGAAGTGACTTGATTATGGCCAGTAATAGTCAGAGTGATTGTACATTAATCGTTCGAAATTAAGTGGTGAGTTGTACATTCAAGAACAATGATAAAATTTCATATAAACGTTGGAATTCGAGTTCTTCGTTTTAAAGGTACAGCCCTTACATACTGCAATTTGACAGGCAATGCACACATTGCAGGGCTGTACGTCTATATATTCAGTAACATGGTTATGCATACAGGCAACTATGTGTACAAATATAGGTGATAACAGGTGTCCATGTACCCAGTAATGCAGTCATGCATGTTAGCACCTACATGTGTCCATTTATAATGTTACGGGCATAGGCGTCTATATAGTCAGTAGTATGGTTGCTACAAATGTTGCCATCGTTCATAGAGGTGTCTTTGTAGTCAGTCATATGGTTGTGCATTATAGTCGTTAATATAGGCAGCAAATTATATTGTCATGGTTAAAGGTGTCTTAATTGCCAGTGATAATGGTTATGGACAGAGGCACCTATGTAGCCTGAAATTATAATCATGGATAGATGTGTCCAAACAGCCAGTAATATAGGAAGGAATGCAAAAGATATGATCGTCTATATGGCCAGTAATATGGGCATGCACAGAGGCATCTATGTAACCAGTTATATGGTAATTGAAACAGCCATTAATACACAAGTGGAGAGAGCCCTCAAAATAAAAAGTAATATGGTAATAGATTCAGGCATCTTTTTTAGCCAGTGATGGAGATTGTAATATGTGCAGAAACAGATGCGGCTATATAGGCAGTGGTAGTAATCTATATATCAAAAGATATTGTAATGTGTAGAGACCTCTTTATAGCGAGTAATATAGTCATGCATGTAAGTGTCTACATGACCAAACATGTACACTAGTCGTTCATGGAAGCGTCTATATATCCAGTTATATAGTCATTGATAGAGGGGTGAATGTACCAAGTGATATGGTCATAGAGGCATCTACGAGGTGCGATCGAAAGGTTTCCAGACTGCGCGTATAAAAACCCGTACACTTATCTCAGGTATTAAATTCATCCATCACCCTCGAAGTAGTTCCCCTGGGAGTGAACACAACGATCCCAGCGC